GGGTGCAGAATCTGTGAGCTCCGTAAGTGGTCACGATTTGTGAGGGGATGGGTGAAATCCATCATTCACTTCCCCGCATGGTGCAATAGTGAAGGGATGCATTCAAGCAAAGGCTTAGGCATTCCTGATGCAGTGTCAGGAATTGTCATACAATGAATGAGAGCTGTGGAAAAAAGTCAACGGACGGAGTAGTCCAAGTTGTCGGGGCCCGCATTGTGCAGACAAATAGAGTTTTGTGGAAAAGGGCCGGATTAGCAGGCATAGAACTGGATGCCGCCAGGAAGTTCTGTGAGGTTAAGAGGGTGAACAAAATTGGCAATCAAACCAATGGAGGCGCCCTCAAGACTATAGCAGAGTCCTCGGTGAGCCGGCACTGGTTATTGGAAAAAAATATAAGACCTGGAAACAAAATTCTAGTTTGGAAGGCAATGGCAGGAGTGATTCCAACAAAGATCAATCTGTCTAGAGGCGTAGCTGACCAGACTCTCAAAAAATGTTGTGTTGTGGTTTAACAGCAGAAACTGATTGTCACATCTTGGCCGGATGTCCTACCAGTCGGGATGCATACTCGAAACGTCATAACTTGCTTTGTGATAAACTCGCCAAAGAGCTAAGACTCAATGGTGGGCCAAGCAGATGGGTGTGGCGCAAGAGGATGTGTCTCGTTATAAGCCCGATATTGTTGTGAAAGATGATGGTGTAATTACTGTCATTGATATGGCATGTCCGTACAAGAAATCGGAAAGACACCTAAGTCAATGCGAAGATGCAAAAGTTGCTAAGTACGAGCCACTCAGGCTTGATAGGAGTTGGACTCAAGAACTTGAGGGGAATAAAGGCAGAAGTGCTAATGAAATATCAGTTGTAGGTATTGCAGTAGGGGCGATTGGAACAATTACGCGTAAAACCCAGCGGATACTTAGCAAGTAAGAAACTGGCCAAGGTCGGAAGACCGTTACAAATAATTGCATGTAATAAAAGCGCCCAAATTATAAGACAACATCTTTTGGGATCGAGACTTAGAAATTTGCGGTGAATGCTCGAGGTAGTTGGGATAATGATGCACAAGCTCGTAAGGCGACTTGCTGCACGTATGACAGCTAAACACTTAGCTCGATGAGTGCATGTCAAGACGGTCGGGAGTATGATCAGTGGAGCTGACTTTCCAGACGACTTACGCAGATTCGCGTGCGGTGGATACAACACCTGGTATAATATGTGAAGGGTTTCATCTAGTACAGGGATAATGATCCATGGGAGCGAACTAATTAGTTGGAGATAATCCAACACCGCTGTTGAGTCAGTTTTTAACTGCCAGTCAACTCTTGTAGGTTGTCGGTCTTCGGCAGACCTTGGACTGCCTAGCGTCGGCCAACAGTTTGTCGTCGACTAACATGATGATTTGCGAGAGAAACCCACGCTTTGTCACTTATGTGAGGATAGAATCTCTTGTCCATATCTTGGACAAGAGATCTCTTGTCCTTTAAAGGGGACAGCGCTTAGAGCTTGCTCAGCGTTGGCACCTTTAGTCTGTAATATTTTCTTGATATTATGGATGAAAAAGATAGTATGGTTGCAAAGCTGAAACCTAAAGGAATTGACAGAAGGGCACCACCAGGAGTGGAGCCTGCGGTTTAATTTGACTCAACACGGGAAAACTCACCAGGTCCAGACATAGTAAGGATTGACAGGTTGATAGCCCTTTCTTGATTCTATGGGTGGTGGTGCATGGTTGTTCTTAGTTGGTGGAGTGATTTGTCTGGGTAATTCCGTTAACGAACGAGACCTTAACCGGCTAAATAGTCACACGGTTAATAACACAAATATACACACACATACATACATACTTCAATGAATTTGATGATGCAGTTTTATTCAAAATCATTGCTGTCCAGACAAACTGATATTCTGTATAAATGACAGGAACATCTGTTAATACTAATTGTGATGAAATTGAACAGTTTATTGGTATGCAAATTGCTATGGGAGTGCTAAAATATCCGTTATATAGGATGTATTGGTCTTAATACACTAAATGTGCATCAAACGCAAATTATATGGGTTTAAAACAATTTGAAGTAATAAAAAAGTATTTTATTGCAAATGATAATACACACATGTCAAAAAAAAAAGCAGAATATGATTATTTGTAAAGAGTTAGACTAATTGTGTAGTCTGTTCTTAGTAATTGCAGGTTAGTTGAACAAGAAGAAAATCAGTCTATAGACAAACAAATTATTCCCACAAAATCAAGGTGTTCAATCAGACAATATTTTCCAAAGAAACCACACAAATGGGGCATAAAGGTCTGGGCATGATGTGGAGTCAGTAGAATGCTTTACGGTTTTGCTATCTATCTTGGCAAGGAAGAAAATACAGATATTTTTAAAGAATATGGTAATGTTGGAGCAGCAGTGCTAAAGCTTGTCACACATTTGCCAAAAAATATAGGGCATAAAATCTTCAAGGAAAATCTTTTTACTAGCATAAAATTTTTCAACACTTTAAAGGATTTTGAAATATGGGTTGTAGGAACCATTTGTAATAACCACTTACATTATGCTGAAAAAATTTCTTGCACTGAATTGTTTTCACAAAATAATGCTGAATAATTTGCGCTAATTAAATTTGCTTAAATATATCAAGTTTCTTAATATTAAATTATAATTAATAGGTTGTTAATATTCGGAATAACTTGCTATCTTACATTTTTAATGCCAAAATCATCAAGAGCTTTAAAATTAAAATCTCTATCAACTTCAAAAAATACTTTTCTGACTAACTAATTTTCGTTTTGTAATTGAGGAGTGGAATTGCAAAACCAGATAATTCACTTTTTTTTCATTCAAAGATAATGGCAAAAAAATGTTTTTCAGTAAATCAAATAGCTAAAAATCAAAAATTTAAAAGCTGAACAATAGATATTAAAAGAATGTTAAAAACAAAAGTTTGAAAATCATGCCCTTTTGATCTTATTTATATTACAAAATGAAAAAACGTTTTATCTGGTTTTGCATGCCAATTAATTTTTTTATCTGGTTTTGATCAAAAATTAATTTCTAACTGGTTTTCAAAAAAGCTTTAAGTCAATTTGACTAGTGACGATTTTAATAATCAATATAAATGTGCAAAACGCCCCTCTGCCTTAGAAAATAAGTAATTTTAATGCTTGATATGTTTATAGGATTGATGAAGTTGAAACTCAATTGTAACTGTTTAAATATGGCTTTTATAATTTTAGTGAGTCTTTTTGTATGTGATTTTTTTCTTAAATAATGTCCTCTAGTTTGTGAAAACGTTTTTAAAACAGAATGTTGATTAGATTCAATTTTTGTCTTGTTTTGCATCGACAGTAATTTTTTTTTAACTGGTTTTGCACGGACTGAATAATTTATGGCAGGTAAAATGTTATTAAAATAGTGGCTTTTAAATTTAATTTTTATTTGTAACGATGTAGGAGTATTAGTACTACAAAAAAACATTGCTAAGTCTTTTTTTAAAAAAAAGTGAATTATCTGGTTTTGGAAGTCTACTCCTCAATTGTGGCATTTCATATAATTTATATTTTTTGTAATTTATTGCTAAACAATTTCTAATATGCGCTAATTAATCAAAAGTTATGTTATCAAAAATAAAAGATAAGAAGATAGAGAAAGTTGCAAAAAAGCGAGTAGACCTTCTCAACTGTATTCTCAACACATCTATATTAAGTAAATAGGACTTTGTGGTTATTGACTCCATAACACTCTTAGACTTATATCAAGAAGTTTATTGGTTGAAGTTAAAACTAAAAGCAATCCTGTTTATAATATTTCGACATAATTTAAAGTACTACTTAAACATATAGTTACAGCATTTAAGGTAAATGTTTATTAAAAGTTTCTTTTAAGATACCCATTGCCAGGTACTGTAAAAAAAAGATAATTCTGGGTACCCAGGAAAACAGCAGATTTACCAGGTCCAAACCAAGTACCAAGCACATCACTAATTATTAGGAGAATCAATTAATCACTGGACCAGCAAAGATAATGTTATTGTTAAAGTGTCTTGCCCAGAAATGGTACATCAATATAATAAACATATGGGTGGAGTTGATATATGTGACATGTTAATGGCATTGTATAGAATTAAGTTAGGTCTAAAAAAATGGTATATGCATATAATTGATTATTGTATAAATGTAGCAAAAGTGAATGGTTGGATTTTGTATAAAAGATATTGTAAATAAAAGGGGTGTATCAGGAAAAATATCATTCAGCTTTTAGAATTCTAAACACTCATTGCAGACTTTATTATAAGAAAAAAAAGTTCCTCGAGGAAGACCAAGAAGTGATACACCTGCTGTGAAAAGAAAACTCTGCCCAGTAAATGCCCTGGCTAAAGAAATCTGTTTAAACAATATTGGTAATTTGCCTAACTTTGGTGAAAACAGCAAAGGTGCAAACATTGCAAGTCTGGATATAGGCATATTTATTTATAGGCGTACAAGTCCACTTGTGCTTGGTTACCTCTTGCAATTATTTTTATAAATTCCGCATCTAGAGTTTTGAACATGAAATAGAATACTATAGAGGTAAAAAATAAAACATAAAATTTTTTATTTTATTTTCAGTGTGATTTGGTGAAGTAAAGGGTTATATATATATATATATATATAAACATATAAATAAAAGAACATGTTGGAACCTTATAGTCAAAGTTTGTAGTTATAAACTTTGCATTAAGATTGTTGTTCAACTGTATTAGTCATTTGTTTTGGTAACAAATACACATTTATTGATTTCCTTTTAGTAGTTTTTGTTTATTTTAAGGGTTATAATCTGATTTATTGTTTGGTATATGTACTTTTTAAATTGAATTTTATAGAACTTTTTTTACCAACATAAGTAACATATTACAAATTTTGAAAAAAATATGCTACTTTAAATTTTAAAAAATCTTTTTAAAGAAAAACATTTTTTTAAAGTTAAACTAGTCTTAAAGTTTGATTCTTTCCATAGGTGTAGCCGGTGATGGAACTTGTTCTAAATGTAATCCTGGTTACACAGGAGCCAATTGTAATATCTCATTAGTTGCATTGATTCTACCTCTTATAATTGGCTTAGTTTTATCAGGACTAGGAATATTTTTTCTTGCGAGATTTCTAATTAAACGGTAAATAATTTTTTAGTGCTTATCTGAGTTAGCATTTTGTTACATAATTAATTTTACTGAATTTTTAAAACTATTTTTAGTGCAAAGGATAAAGCTGCATTGTATAATAATGACTGGATTGTAACTTGGTCTGATATAAAACATTATGATGAAGCAACTGGCAGAAGTAACATGCACATGTCAGCCCTTTCAATGGATAAAAGTGCTGCAAGGTGATTTTAATTTTGTTCAAAACAGCTTTAAAACAGCTTTTTTTAATACAAAAAAATAAGACATATCTTACCTTATATCCCAACTGAGTGGGGTAAACAACTTTCAGTCATTTTGTTTAACAAAATGATTGATGATTGATTAACCTCCTCAAACAATCTTTTGCACAGAGTAGATGAGCATTAATGTTTGTTAGCTATTGTGAGTTCTGAATTCTTGATTAATTTCTTTTAATAAGTAGCTTTTACATAACGATAGCTCATTGATTTTACTTTCAAGGAAAAAAATTAATTCTGGATCATGGCAAGGTATTGATGTGCACTATCAGGTATAAATTTACTTTTACTAATTATGTTGATTTTCTTTTTACGATATTTATGAAGTTATTTATTTTCTTTTTAAGATTTTTCATGCATTTTATTTAAGTACATTTTTATGCTAGTTATTACTGATTTTTTATGGATATTCTTACAATATTTTTGTTTCTTTGTATTGTCTATACAGTTTATTGTGTTGATTTTAATTAGTTTATATATAAACTACTGTATGCAATCAACTATAAATAAAGTTTTTATATTTTCAAAATTTCACTTTTGGTATTTAGTTAGACTTTTTCTTTTTAATTGTAGAAAATAGACAAAGAAACAATTTCACTGACAGACACAATCCGTTTGGAAGTAAAACATATGCGTGATATTTCGCACATCAACATTGCAAATTTTTTGGGATGTGTTATTGAGGCACCAAATATTTCTATTTTGATGGAGTTTCAACCTAAAGGAAGTTTAGATGATATCATGAGCAATGAAGATATTAAAGTCCCTTGGAATTTCCGCTTTGCTTTTATCAAGGTTTTTTTGTTTTGTATATATTAAATATGTGTACTAATGTGTATTATATATAAAACATGTATATACATGTATGTATATATTTGTATATACGTATTACATATACCCTGCCTGGTCAAACTTTATACCCAAGTTGATGTATGTACTAAAGTCCCTGCAGAGAGTAATTTCAATAAGGAATCATCTGTTTTTATAAGGCATCATCTGATGTTTATGAAAAGCTAAATTGCCATTTATTAAAATTATATTTATAATTTTATAAATATAAATTTAATAAATATAATAAATTTTATTATATTTATATATATATATATATATATATATATATATATATATATATATATATATATATATATATATATATATATATATATATATATATATATATATATATATATATATATATGTATATATATATGTATATATATATATATATATGTATATATATATGTATATATATATATATATATATATATATATATATATTATATATATATATATATATATATATATATATATATATATATATATATATATATATATATATATATATATATATATATATATATATATATATATATACATATATATATTAGGAATTTTTTAATGAAATTCATATAAGTCTTTCAACTGTTTCATTACACTATAAGGGGTTATCCATAAATTATGCCATGCTCTAGGGGATGAGGGATAGTATTTTGTAATTATTCCTAAAGGGACTTGTTACTAAAGAGTTACAATGTTGTGACAAGGGGTAAGTGGTCAAAAACAGTCAGATATTGCGTGGCATAATTTATGGATGACCCTAAATACCATAAACTTTTTAAACAACCCTGGTTTGCCTTATTAACATTGCAAATAGCAAAATTGGAAAAATAAGTTAAAAAAAATAACATATTTTATAAGATGTAAACTAAAAGATATATTAGAAATTAAATACGCATAAAAGTATAAAAACAAAACAACCATTTCAAACAACTCAAATATCCAAGCGTCACCACACTCAATCCACACTCAAAGTCAAACATATGCAATAAAAAAACTAAACTTTTGGGAAAACAATCCATCCTCTCTTAACTGCACCCAAAAAGATGAGCTAATAGCTAAAATTGAAGCTGAATCGATAGGAAAAAAAACAGTTACACTATTTTTTGCTGAGTCATGGTTCAATAAAACATCTGACACCAAACTAGTAAGCTATCAATTTTACCAAAAAGATAGAGATGGGTGAGGAGGTGGTGAGTGTTTCCAGCTATGGAAAAAACTATTCAACAACTTAAACGCAAGTTTGAACAAGTATAGCGCTTCATAAATCTAGGATATGAATCTATCCTTGCAGGATGTTCTTACCAACCTCACGATAAAGATATTTTTTTTATAACAAATAACATACTCAATAAAAGTAGCCAAAGTTCATTTAATATTTTTAGACTGTTCAGTAATGTTAGTCTATAGAGATTTTAATTTTAACCATACAACCTAAAATGACATTTTTTTTTATTTTTTATTTTTTTTTAAGTTGATTAAGGTGCCCCAAGAAGTCCTTACGGTCTTATCACAGAGCACTGCAGAAGAGCATTTAATGGGAAGTTCACGCCTCCTTCCCAACCGATGTCGCAAAACTTGCCCAGAGGTGCGGTTTGAACCATGGACCTTACGTTTTTGAGGCAAGTGCACTACCACTGCGCCACGGCTGCTTTGAGATTGGTGGAGGAAGAGATACCACAGCCCACATAGAAAAGGAATGACAAACTGAATTAAAATTTCAGAAATGTTTAACTGAAAGTCATCAACTCAAGTGGTGACTTTCCCAACATATCGTAACTTCAGAAACAAAGATCCAAAGAGCACACTTAACTATTACAGATGTCCCAGACAGTGTTGAGTAACTAGAAAAGGGTGACTCGTTCGGCCATACACCTGCAGGCAAATCTCACTATTTTTTTTTATTGGATCATCCACAGTGAACTATATAAATAAAAAAAACTTGAAAAATAAAAGATACATCTGGAGTAGAGCAGACTATAAAACTATTTTAATATGAATACAAGCAAACGACTGGAACAAAATATTCAAAAACTTTTCAGTAAATAATAACTACTCTGCATTAATCAACAAGTACAAGTTGATTTGCACATTCCATTTACTACAAAACCATTCTTTGTAAAGAAAGAACCCTGGAACTTGCTAGAGGTTAAAGAGGCAGTTGAAAATAAAAGAATACTCTGGAGCAAGTATCTTAAAGTAGGCAATAATTCTCATGAAGCAATCAAAAAAGAACATCGAATTGCATGTAAAAACGTGACCATAGTAGTCTAACAAGCAATCAAAGAATATGTAAAAGAATTTGCTAAATGAAGAAATTGCCCACATAATAAATGAATATTTTTATTTGGTATTTACCACAGATATGGACAAGTAAATGCCAGAATTAAAAAATCAAATAAAAATTGAATGCAAAATGAATTATCAATAAAAACAAATATTTCCAAGAAAAGCTCGAAAACCTGGTTGAATCAAAATCCAAAGATTACAATAGAGTGCACTCTTGGATATTAAAAAACTGTTCCTCTGCTTTTGCTGAGCCACTCATACTCATATTCCAAAAGTCTTTTGCTGAAAGTCAAGAAATACCTGAATTATGGGGAAAATTAAATGTCACACCAATTATTAAAAAAGGGAGTAAATGAAAAAAAAAAAATTATTCGCTGGTTTCTCTCACATCTATCCCTTACAAACTGATTGAGAGTTTTGTTTACAATATCCTAATAAAGCATTGCATCAAAAATATACTGATTTTACAAAAGCGTTTGACAAAGTATCCCACAAACGGCTCCTAAATAAGCTTAAAGCATACAGCGTATGAAGAACTCTACTCATGTAGATAGTAAACTGGATAAAAAACTGTTCCTCTGCTTTTGCTGAGCCACTCACACATATTCCAAAAGTCTTTTGCTAAAAGTCAAGAAATACCTGAATTATGGGGAAAGTTAAATGTCACACCTATTTTTAAAAAAGGGAGTAAATGAAAAAAAAAAATTATTCGCTGGTTTCTCTCACATCTATCCCTTACAAACTGATTGAGAGCTTTGTTTACAATATCCTAATAAAGCATTGCATCAAAAATATACTGATTTTACAAAAGCGTTTGACAAAGTATCCCACAAACGGCTCCTAAATAAGCTTAAAGCATACAGCGTATGAAGAACTCTACTCATGTAGTAAACAAACCGATAACAGAGAGTAACAATCTGTAATCATAAATCAGATTGTAAGAAAGTCACAAGTAGTGTTCCACAAGGTAAGAAAGTCACAAGTTCCACAAGATTCAGTGGTTAGACCTCTATTATTTATACTTTTTATAAACAATCTACTAAACAGTATACCACATCAAATTAAGATACATGCTGATGACAGCAAGATTTTAGGCATAACAAAGAGCGAGGCAGATACTGTAATGTTACAAAATGACATGACCAGTATGTTGGTCTAAAAAATGGCTCATGGAGTTGAACGGAAAATACTTGAAAGCACCAAAAATGAACTGGGAATATTTATTTTTCATGGTTTTCATGAAGTGAAATATCAAGTAGAAGCGGCAGCAGCAAAAGCCAATTGCGTGTTAGGCTCTCTCAAAAAAACTTTTAGAAGGCCTTTTCTTGTGGAAAGTCTTCTCCACCTCTTGAGTTTGCAATTTTTTTAAGCTTGGTCTCCATAACTATAACAAGATGTATGTTAGAAATTCATCAAAGAGCAACATAAATGATCTCAGAAATTAAGCATAAGTCATATGAGGAGAGACTCTGTATCCTTGGACTTAAAACTCTGGAAGAAAGAAGAAATCGAGATGATTTGATTCAGCAATTTGTTCACAATATCAAAAAAAATAAAATTTGCTGTATCAAAGGTGTAGGCGCCATCAATTGACAAATAACTAAGCAAATGGTCAAAAGTTGCAAAGATAGGAAGCATTTCTTCACTAACCGTTAGGTTAATAAAGAAATGCTTTTGTTATATTAATGAATGCTTTTCGTTAGGTTAGTGAAGAAATGGTAAATGTATGGAACGCACTTCCGTCAAATGTAGCCTATGCAGTCTTGGTAAATGTTTTCAAAGATCATATTGATGGGAAAAGAACAAATAATAGACACAGTGCCTGTCTTTAAGCTGTCAGCATTGATATAGTGCCTGGTGTCACACTACTTCATTAGAAATTGATAAATTTTTTATTGTATTAAATGTTTAATATAAATTTCTAATTTCTGAATAAACAAATTCATTGTGTGAAAACTAGTCGAAAAATACACAAGAGGAATTAAATGAGTGCAAAGAAAATATCAAAGAAAATATTTTTATATATTTCTCATTTTTGACATTATTGACTTTACCCTTCTGTAAATGAAAATCCTTTTCGTATTTACTTTGGTGAACAGTATGTTGCTATCATAAAAAAGAATAAACATTTGTCACACATGTAAGTTTTTATTTAACAATGACAAATTCTTTTTAATAAAAATTCTAGATAAAAAAGTAAAACAGTTTACTTAATATCATAATGATAGCATTTGATAATGACTTTCTCTATAATACCTAAAGTCACTTTGAGTTGTATAGAGATGAGGGTTTAGCTATGTTTTAAAATGCTAGCAGTCCTCAAATGGAAAAAAAATGAAAAAATATAACTTAGATATTTAAGATTGAAGACCTTTTCTACTCAATACAAGTCTTTAACTACCTTGATAATACTTTAAACTTTAATGATGCAGTTTGCAGCTTTAACAAAAATCTGAAAGTGTGCTAATATACATCCATGCTAGTTCCAACCACCAAATTTTTTAAAGCAGATATCTACCTCAATTGAACATAGTTTATCATTTAACTCTTCCAGCAAAGTAATTTTTTTCCACCTATTTATAAAGGAGCAAAGTCTGTATTAGTATTTAGTGTTATTATATCAGTTATTGTTAGTAACACAACTACAGTAGAATCTCATTAACTCGGACTCTGAATGGGCATATATATTTTGTCTGACTTAGCAAATGTCTGAGTTAAGTTAAGCTTTTGGTATGTATAGAGAATTCAAGGGGAGTTTAAAATTTGCCAACTTATCCAGGGTCCACATTAAGGGGGTTCTACTGTATATCAGTTATCTTAGAGTGTAGATATTTAAGAGAAAAGTCTAAATTTAGGGTATTTTAAAAGGTCTCCAATATTTACATAACAGCGAGATTAAAAGCCACGGTCGATTAAAGTCTAGCAATATACTTGTAGATAATCGATGGACTGTGAAGTTAACTGGTTAGTTAAAATAGTTTAAATTAGTTTGTTTAATTTTTTAATTAATTTTTTGAAAAAATTTGTGGCAAATTGTTATGTTACATAGAAAAAAATTCTGTAAATTAATCTTATATTTTTTATTATTTGAGGTTTTGGTCTTCATTCTTTTAAATCAAATCAGAAAGGAGTTGGTGTTTTTAATCCACTTGAAATTAATAAGAATATTGATCAATCTACAGCCAATTATTTGTAATTTTTTTTTTTTTTTTTCACAAATTCTTTCCTTCATTCCTCAAATAAATGATAAAGTAAAAATAAAATTTTTTGAAAAAAGTTAACTTTATAGAATTTTATTATTTTTAATAAAAAAAAAGTTTTTCAGCGTGTGTTATTTGTTTGCATAAATATTTTCATTTGTTTTGAATTTAACTAGTTCCTTGCTATGGACATCACCTGAAATTTTAAAAACTGGTGTTTATCATTTGAACCATGTTGGACGTGGATCAGTTGAAGGAGATATTTATAGGTTTGTAAAAAAAATTCAAAAATAAAATTTTTGCATTTATACTGTTTCTGAATTTATTTATTTTTCAGCTTGGGAATGGTTTTGTCTGAAATGTGTTCTCGAAGTTTTCCGTTTGCTGACTTAGACTTAGAAAAAGCGGATGTTATTAGGTTGATATGTGGCCAAAAAGATGATGATCTTTTAAAAGTAACCTAAAACTATTCTCTTGTTGTTTTGAGGTTTTTAATGTTTTCTGTTTCATGATGTTCTATTTTATGTTCATCACAATATTTTTTTTTGAAAAACAAATGTGATAACATATTTTATCTCAATACTTCATTAGGCTTGGAAGGACTATGTCTCAAAATCAAATGCTGAAGCTGGAGGGTTTGTTCGTCCTTGCATAAAAGACACTGAATGGCCCGCAAAGTATGAAAAGCGCAAAGCTCTAAAAAAAGTAAAGTTATATGTTTGAACAGTAAATATCAAAACTTATTTACATTATATAATGGTGATAAGAACTTACCAGATATTTAACTTATTCTAACTCAGAGTTTGTGTAGATTTAATTTACCAAATAAATATATTTCATTTAAAGAATGTCCATGCAAAACATTGACACAGTTTTAGCATATAATTAGAATAATAAACAGTTTAATGTGCTTTAAGTACCTTTTAAGATATATTGATATCTTTGTTAATAGATAAAAATTAAAAGTTATTTCAAGTCCTTTCACTCACAACACAAATCATATGACTACTCCTCTAGAATACTTTTTACTTTTTGTAAAAGAAAAATAATATTACAGAATATACTATTTATAGCTTATGGAAGCTTGTTGGCATGAGGATCCTACTCTACGACCATCTATCAAAGAATGCATTGTTCAGGTTGATCGTATAGATCCGCAGAAAGGCGAGTTAATGGATAATCTTGTTACTATGTTAGAAAAATACTCAAACAATCTAGAAAATATTGTAACCAAACGAACAAAACAATTAGCAATAGAGAAACAAAAAACAGAAGATTTAGTATCACGTAATATTTTGTTATTTGCTGTTAATATTATTATCATATAAAGTTATAATTGTTATTTTTATTACTATTATTATTAATATACTGATATTGCTTATTCCATTTAATTAGTTTTTTAAGTCATATAATATGCAAACTTAATTAAATTACTAGCTTAGATAAATCAACAGTTGTATGAATTAGAATTTGTTGAAATAGGTTTGCTGCCAAAGTCTGTTGCGGAAGATTTAAAACAAGGGAAACGTGTTGAACCTGAAACTTTTGACTTTGTAACAATTTATTTTAGGTAAACAAAATTTATTAATGATTTATAAACTTTAAAATTATTTAATAATTATATAAACTTTTAAAACATGCTTATTTTATTTCTAAATCTGAAAAAAAAAATTTTTTCTAATAAACCAACAGTTTTTTCCATCATCTTCATTGATTTATAGATCAATGAATAAAAAAATGGATATCTTAAAGAACTCATAAACTTCATTAATTAATTAAATGTACAGTCATGACCATAAATATGAGAACGATGATAAACTTTCTATTGTTTCATGATTCTTCATCATGTAAAGACAATTATATAATAATTATAGTTGTTAGATAATAATTGTTAGATAATAGTTGTTAGATAATAATTAAAGTTGTTTTCAAACCTTATAACGTACTTTCAAACCTTATAACGCAGGGTCATGTTTTCCGATGAAACAGTGTTATGTTAGTACTGAATTCAGATTGTCAAAAAATAAATTCACATTATACCTGTTAAAGCTGGTGGCACAATTCAGTAATGTAGCTTCAGACATTTTTATTACAAACTCTGGTTTTTATTTTAGAAACAAAGAAAACCATTCTGTACCAGCATGCTCGTTCTTTTCCCATGAAAGAGGAATTTTGCATTTTTTTCTTTTTTTTTTGCGTAATTGTAAACAAACTTTTGCACTTCTGCAAGAGTGAGGCCATAGTATATGCGTGAAGCCTCTAATATGTACCTGGGAATCACATTCTCTTCTTCCAAAGTAAAAGCATTTCTGTTATTGTGGTACCCCGCAGTTAATTTGGTTGGGGTGCTTGGTATTGCTTTGACTTTGATGCAGTATCTTCTGAGTGTCACATAAAGTATACCATAGTTTACTGCAACTCCTCTGCATTTCTCTCTATTTTCAATTACTCTTGTGACAACAGCAAGCATCATATAAATGAAAACACATTCTAAATAATAAGATTTTTGATTCAAAAATTTAGTATGCCAGTATGGATAATTATAAAATAATAAAAATAATCTATAAGCAATAATAGAAGGATATAATTGATGCCTAAAAACAAGAACATTCCAACATACCACTATCATAACCTTCCAACAAACCCACATTTAACCAGTGCACAAAACTCTATAAAAAGCACATTAAAAGAAAGCCCATAAAAAATACTACTTAGATATTTTCAAACTATTTTATTATCTTTTATAATACAAGATTACAAATAATAAAAGATCGCAAAAAATTTCGTGTTCTCTAAAAGCTTAAGCTGCAACTTAATTTTCACAATTTTATCTAACAACAAAATAGCATTTTAATTCTCGAAATCTTTATTACTTGTTTGTAATAACAAACTGCTTGTTAGTTAGCTCAAAAGTTCAATGTTTCAATCTTGTGTTCCTACTAACCCCAGTCTCCCCTACTTTTAACAAAGTAAGAGTTGTTTAAAAAAATCTTTAAAAACTAAAAGAAACTATATAACACAGTTCAGTGTGTTATGTTATATGCTAGTAAAACACAAGCTATGCCTAGAAACTCTAGCATATTTAATAATGCAAAGATAATATCTTATTCTTAATGAGAATTTAAAAAAAATTAAAATCATAAAAACATAAGAAGCAAATTTATTTGATTGATATAATAATTTTTTTTTTATGAGTAGTAGTAATATAAATTTTTATGTTATTATAAATGCTAAACAGAGATTTTTGAGAATCTTTTACTTGCATTTGTATTTTTACCTTTTTTTACTGTGGTAAATCTGCACAAATTTGATTTTAAAAAAAAAACAGTGCTAAAATACACTAAAAAATGCCTTTAAAAAAACTCAACTCGGATACCAATGGTTGTAGAAAGTTTTTCAAAACTCTAAATTAAGTTTAACTATAAACATTAAATAATAATAATGTTTAATTAAATAATAATAATAATAAATAATGTTTGTGTGAACAAAATGTACATGCTTATAGCTTACAGCCCAAAAGTTTAAAAATTCAAAAAGATTCAAATTTAAGTTGAAATTTTTAAATTTGTTTATAAGCTAATTTTTATTTCCAAATTAGATTAAAATTTGCTTAAAAATCTTTTAATTATAATTTTTATATTTTGTTTTGAATTGAATTTTTTAGTTACTATTATTACTACATTATTATATATACTATTACTACTACTTTATTATAACTAATAATTATGGAAACCTTGGAACCTTTTACTGAAACAAGTGTTCAATATTTTGTTATCATGTTTTACTTTTACAAAGTTATTATTAATTTTGTGTAGATTTATACTAAATTTGATAATTATGTATTTACTGTAACGCAAAAAATAATTTGTTTAATGTTACTGTCAGTATTATTATCAACTAATTATTTAGTTATTTTTCATTTTCGTATTTTTTCATAGTTTTGTTTTTTCTTGTCAATAAAAGATCAATATATACTTAAAAAACCCAAAATTTTCCTTGAAAACTCCTAGAATATCCTGGATTTTGAATTTGTTATTGGCTGGCTACCCTGGGATTTGATACATGGTTTTCAAGAAAGATTCAAAGTAATAGTTAATTCTAGAAAATGAAGGGTAGATGACTCATCAAGTACATTACCGTTTATAAATCTAGATTATTGCAATAATGATTAGCTGTAAAAAATTAAGTTTTATGTGAGTTAAACTTCACCAACCACTGAGAGCTCATGCTGTAGAAGAAATGAGGTCTTTTTTAAGCTCAAATATCCCCTCCAAGCGTTTAGAGATTTTTGGCTTCTTATCAAGACAAGAATAAATGATAGTATCATCAGCGAACAATGCCACTTTAGATGTGAGAATATCTGGGAGATCATTAAAGTAAAGTAAAAAAAGTATAGAACCAATGATAGAACTTTGAGAAACCCCTGAAGTTACAGGAAATGAAGAAGAGTGCTGTCTTTTGAAAATAGCTTTTATACTTCGATTGGTAAAGAAAGGTGTCTAAATATATATATATATATATATATATATATATATATATATATATATATATATATATATATATATATATATATATATATATCAAGTTATATAAAAAATATATATAGTTCAAACAAAAAATGGCTATTTAGTGTTAGCGCATCTAGAAGATCTGATGATTAGGAGTATTTTCATTTTTCCCAAAAGCTACAAGAAGCAAAATGTAGGGTACATGTTATATATATAAATATTTACATATTATATATATGAATATTTACATATTATTTATATGAATATTTATATGAATATAATCTTTGTATGAGATTAGTTGCAAAATTATTTAGATTATTTTTTTTTAATTTTATTTTCAAACAGATTATCTTGATTTAAAACAACTGAGTTTAACAAATCACTTTTATTTACTAAATTATTATCTTATTAATTTAATTTTTATTAATGGTATTACATTTTAGAATGTCCACTTTGTGTTTCTTTTTTAGTGCATGCGTTTTTTTTACAAATTGGACGTTCTAAAATGTAATACCATTAATAAAAATTAAATTAATAAGATAATAATTTAGTAAATAAAATAATAATTTAGTACAAGTGATTTGTTAAACTCAGTTGTTTTAAATCAAGATAATCTGTTTGAAAATAAAATTAAAAGAAATAATTTAAATAATTTTGCAACTTATCTCATTCAAAGATTATTCCAGCTTAGAGAGCTAAACTCTGATGTTGATAATAAAGCAAATAATGATGACAATATAAGAAATTATTACAAATAATTGTCTCTAGCTAAGCTACTGAAAATGATTTTTTAAAACATCTAATTTTAAATGTAATTGACAAGGGTGAAATTAGGTATGATCTTGTGAAAGGGCTCTCTATCTTTTGATTATTTTTAAACACATATATACATATATGTAATACATACATATATATATATATATATATATATATATATATATATATATATATATATATATATATATATATATATATATATATATATATATATGTATGTATATATATATACACACACACACACAAACCCTAGAATTAGGGTCGGCATTCGGCAATGCCGACCTAAAAGTGTTTGAGGTTGGCAAAAAAATACTGACCTCGTTTCTATATTTAATGGTAAGACCTTCATATCAAATATATATATATATATATATATATATATATATATATATATATATATATATATATATATATATATATATATATATATATATATATATATATATATATATATATATATATATACATATATATATATATATATATATATATATATATATATATATATATATATATATATATATTGTATATATATATTATTTATTTATTTATATATACATATACACACATGAGAGTTAATGACCTTTGTTAAAGAAGTCAATAACTCTCATATATGGGTCAGGTTTTATTTAATGTGGTATATGAAGTTTTCAAATAAAATAGGCTTATTAAGATTTTTTATTTAAAATATTATAAAATAGAAACTAAAGAAGAAATGTTAAACTAATTGAACTATAAAAAATTATTAATAAAAAAAAATTTCAATATATCGAAATTGACCTAACAAAAACATTTAAACTTGTGTTTAAAATATCCTACATGTAAATTTTTGCAAGCTGCACTTTTTTTTTACATAGATTTAACAAGTTTGTTGCAAATTTTGGTTGGAACTCTTCTTTAATTGGTATCTAGTTATTGCTTTAGACTATTTATGAATCTTATTCGAACCTTGATTAATTCTTTGCCCATCCAAGCCCAAATATCTATAATCGGATTCAAATCTGGTAAATTAGCTAGTCATGGTAATAAATTTGTTTTCTTTCATTCTTGTTTTGATTATATGAGCTGTGTAGACATCATATATTCTTGAAACTATGGCCATTTGTTTTAATCAATTAACATGTCTACTGATTGAACCTTGTGTGTTTGTTGATTGGGCAATTATGTAAGTGTGTTTGTTGATTCGGCAATTATAAATGAGTTAAGAATTACAGCTTTCAGAAAATAAAGAGTCTCTATGGATTGAAGGAGGTGGAGCCATGATTGCTCTTCATTTCTTTTTTATTTAAAACTATGCTCATGTTGTCAATTTTTAATCTGTATTTTATTTGATATTTGAGATGATTTGGTTAGCAAGTTGATATTTGTTATATGAGATTAGTTGGTTAGTAAGTTAATATTTGTTATATGAGATTAGTTGGTTAGTAAGTTAATATTTATGATCAATATTAATGCTATTATTTCTTAATTTGAAGCCTTATTTAATCTATATTAATTTTCTAATTAAGTTTCAGAAAATTTTAAATAAAAATGTTATTAAATTTAAAATGGCTACTGGAACAAGAAAAATAGTTCCCATCTACACAAACATTTGAGATGTGGAAAAAATTACCAGCAGCTAAACTACCAAAACTAAAATATGTCATAAGATAAGTTGTTTTTAAACAACTTATTGTTTTAAACAAGTGAACTAAACAGAGTAAACTTTTGTAGTTCTGAGTTGATCCTGAATATATGATGTAAACTTTCAAAAAATGTTTTTTTTTTTTAATTTTTGCTTCTCAAAATTAGTTTAAAACATAATTTGATTTAAAGAGGCATAGAACAAAGCTATTCTGGTTCCTCAAAATAACAAGTCACATTTAACAAAGGAAATTGGAGTTAAAAGAAAAGTAGTTATAAAGAAAAGTTAAATTTTCTCATTGATAAACTATTTGGTTATATGATATTTCTTTGTTCTGAGCAATGTTGTCCTCTTGACTATAAAAGTCCTCATTAAAAATACCTGTCCTTTGAAGAGAAAAATACCAATTAATGAACTGGTGGATTTAAAAGGTATGAAGGTAGAATTTGATTAAATGTTAGTTATGAAGATATGAATGTCGAGTTTAATTTTTACAGTTTATTATAGGAGTGTATTTTCCTTTCTGGTTTAACATCAAATTTCAAAATAGTTGGACAGAAGAGCATGTTCTTTACCATCTTAAGTTGTTTCAATACCAGTTGCTCAATATTTAGAGTCATTCCAACAATTAATTACTTTTTAGGAACCATAGTTTTTTGTAACAGATTTTTTTATAATTGATTTATAATAAGTTATCAACAAAACAAATATATGTTTTGGTTAATATTGGGCTGGGTTTTTCACGGCATTTGACAACACAAGTTTTCAATTTGATAGTTTATAATTAAAGAGTATGAAGCACATACTTAAATAATTTTATTAATAGCTGAAAACACTATTTTGTCACAAACAGGATTTTATTTTGCTTTACTAAATACGTATGTAATTTTGTTAAAAAGTAAAAAGTTGCTAGAATTGATATTTCTAAAGTTGTTAAACTATATCTCCTGACACCTGAATCATAGTATTGAATGTTGCTTTGGTGTAATGAATGTAGTCAGTAAATAAAGACACCAGGTACCAACACAAAGGTAAATTTTCTAAATGATTTTATTGATTGGAATGAAGCTTTTGAACCACCTTGAATTGTTGACTTGCTGCAAAACAAGTCAAAAATTTTCACTAAAGAATTGTTGACTTGCTTTATCACAGAAGATGATGTCCCATAATCTATCCAAACAATGTTTAAGAAATAGATTCCAACAAGTAATATTGTACTGTATTTTGATGTGTCATAAAATATGTTTCATTAATCTATAAGAAGTATTTTATTTTTGACTTTAAAACAACCTTGTTTAAACTTTTAAAAGTGGGCCGGTTATCACATTACATTTTCTTAATGTAATGTAAAAACCAAGTTTACAAATTAAAATAAAATCTCAGGTATTTCTTAAAACTTAGTCTGTTTAAAATTATTTTATAAAAAAAAGTTTTTTAAATTAATAAAAGGATTGCACTAATTTAACTATTTTTATGTTTAATGTTAGTGACATTGTTGGTTTTACATCAATAGCAAAGAGAAGTACACCCATGGAGGTTGTTGCTTTGCTTAATGATATGTATACTTGCTTTGATTCTATTGCTGCAAATTATGACGTCTATAAAGTTGAAACAATTGGAGACGCATGTATGACTTATTTGAGTTCTACATTGACATTATTTCTTGTTGCATTTTATTTGAAGCTGTATTTAAAAATGTTTTTTTTTTCCCCAGATATGATTGTATCTGGACTTCCAAATCGAAATGGTGATTTGCATGCAGGAGAAATTTGCACCACTGCACTCGATCTAATGTATGCAGTTGGGAATTTTAAAATTGCCCATCTGCCTGATACTGGTTTGCATTTACGTGCTGGTATACATACGGGTATGGTTGTTTCGGGTGTTGTAGGTCTAAAAATGCCGAGATATTGTTTATTCGGAGATACTGTTGCCTCTGCTTCAAAAATGGAGTCAAGTGGAAGTCGTAAGTTTTTATCTTTTTTACATTATTGTAACTAGTAACAAGTGTTTCTAAGACTTTTAATTATCTAGCTCCATGTCCATTGAAAATTTTAAAATGATCATGCCGAATTATTGCTAGTTTGATAGAATTATTATTGCTTAAGCATAACATTTTATCTAAAGTAAAAAACAGAAAGTGAAAAAAAGTAGTTAAAGAGTTTATAGCGGAATGCGGAATGAACCAGAACATGTATTATATTGTAAAAAAAAGCTGTAAAATGTAAAAGTTTTTAAAAGAAATACAAAGTAAAAGTTAGTTGTTATGGGGTCAAAAATAATGTATAAAGAAGGGGGGGAATAATGCTGAAAATTAAGAAAAATTGACAAACGGGAGGGAGAGTTGACAATAAAAAATTTTATTGTAAGTCCAAAAGTTTTAGAAGAGGTTATTATTTGAATTATTTTAGTTGTGAATTATTTTTGTAATGTAAAAAAAAAAATTTAGTAAGTACCAAAATAAATAATATTTTAGTTGTACAAAATAAATAATAACCGAAGTTGTTGATGGTTAGAAATTCAAGATATGTATCACAACAGCGGGGAAATAATAAAGGAAGCATTTTGATTTGCTACAAAAAAAAGTGTTTAAGATTTTGGGCAACATTTTTTTTTCTTTGGTTATAAAGCTCAAGCTAAAAAATTGTACTAAGTATTTATAGATGTCCCTAATGTAGATTTTAAGTTTCTTAAAAAAGCGACAATAGAAATAGAACAAAAACGTCTATTTATCGAAATTAAAGTTCACGCAAGTTTAAGAGTTTATTTTATAGAAAAAATATGTCATTAATAATAAAAAATTATTTTAATACTGTAATAACAAAAAAGTGTAACAAAATAGTAATTGTATTAACAAAAAGTTTTTTTGGTACTTAAAAAAATTTAAGCAAAATTTAAAAATGGTATAATTATATATATTTATTTATTATACTACATTTATTATATCAATTATTAATAATATATTATATAATAATATATAAGGGATATGTTTTGACTAACTTAAGAAAATATTTCTTTATAAATTCAGAAGACAAACCTTTGATTAATTTCACCTGCTGATATTTTAAATATTGAATAATCTTGATGATAACTACACCTGCGCACATCCAACGCAACATTCACATGCTGTGTCGACATGCGTTGTTAAAATTCAATTTATTTTTATTAATTAATATTATATTTTTATTATTTTAATTTGCAGCTATGCGTATCCAAATTAGTGACTACACTTATCAAATCTTGCTACGGTTGAAAGGCTATAGGTGTGAATTCAGACACGAATATGAATTAAAAGGAAAAGGAATGGTAAAAACATATTGGCTCATTGGAAAAGACGGATACGATAAAATTATGCCTGATTGGACTCAATTCGAACCTGAACCAGGCCACTAACAAATGTAATTTTTGCAGTTCTGCTAATTTTTTTTATTGTAAATATCTTAAATGTTGAAAATCTATGATTAAATTATTCCTGTCAGAAAATGTGTTTGTTTTTTTATAAGTTAAACTTCGTAATCAATTCTGGTACAATAATATTGGTACAATAATACTGTTACAATAATACTGGATAAAGTACAATAATACAAATATACAGTTGAACCGTCTACGTTAGCATATACTAGAGATGACCTATTTTTTCCATGCTGGACAGTAACGCGTTAAACGGGACGACTGAATAAGCAGTTAAAAAAACTGACACAAATGCGAACTGGCATAAGTGCGCAGTTACCCACTTATGCTAGTTCGCATTTGTACCAGTTTTTATAACTGCTTCCAGTTCGCACTTATGCCTATTCCAATGTTTGCAAATTATTTTGCGCACTTATGCCATGCCAGTTTGCACTTGTGCCAGTTTTTGCAACTGTTTCGCACTTATGGCAATGTTTTCAAATTCTTTTGACGCACTTATGCTAATTCACATTTATATCAATGTTTGGAAATTTATTCGGCGCGCTTACGCCAATTTGCACTTATGCCAGTTTTTGCAACGCTTTGCACTTATTTTTTATTTTTATTTTTTTATTTAGATTTATTAAACACCCGCTATACAAGTAAGATAAATTAAGAGTTTCATACAAGATAAATATAAAAAATCTTGGAATTTTTTTTTTTTTTTTTAACGTGATCATCTAGGAATATGTTTTTCAAGAATGTCCTTGAAGATAGTTCTCTGCTCTTTTAAGTTCCAGCACTCAACTGCACATTTTAGAGTTTGAAGATCCGTCTCAGAAATTAAATTTTTGAGGCCGATGATTTTTATTTTTTTTTTACTTTCCATTATTGTCTCCAGATTTATTTCATGATTATTGCACAAGCCTTTGATACTATCTAAAAAATGTTGTGGGACTGTTTCGTTTTTCAGCTGCGACTTAATAATATCATATGACATTTTATTGTTCATCAGGCGAATAAATAAGTTTAGCTTGATTTGTTGTATAATGATTGATATATCTTCAATAAAAAATAAGGTATGAATATAATTTTTGCTATGTTTTGAAACATCGAGGAGTGACTTAAGTGCAATTCCTTCAACTATATCAAGCTTTTGCATTTACATTTTTTTATGTTCACACAGCTCAAGACCATACGTTAGTGTTGAAACAGCTAAAGTTTTATATAACTGAACAATAAAGTTTATGTGAGCAAAACGGATTTCTGATTGAATTAAGGTTTGGATAACCGTCCGGAAATTAGTCCGGGTATTCGGTGATCAATGTTTGATTTATTAAGTGAGGCAAAAGTGGATCTTTTTGTATCCCATGTAAAGCCTAGATGACTAAGTTCATCATGAAGTTTTATTTGCTGGTGGTTGAGAGTTATTGTGCAGTTTTTTAGTTTGATTTTTTCCGGTGAGCAGGAACTCGGTTTTGTCAGTATTCAATTTCATGCAGTTTTTGTGTGTGTATTATATTACATATACTAATAAGCTTTTGTAGGCCAGAGAGGGTAGAGCAAAGGAGTATAATGTCATCAGCATATGCTAGAACACCCGTATAGTTTCCATTGGTTGATGTACCTACGACGCTTTCGTTTTGTAAGGTTTTTTAGTAGGTTTTGAGTATGAATGTTATACAAATGAGGCGAGAGAATAGATCCCTGTCTCACTCCTTGCGTTAGATAGAAAGGATAAGATTTGCAATCTAGATAAGAAACAGAAGCACTGCTTTCATAATATAATGAAGATATGGTATTAACAATATACAGAGGGAGTTTTTTATCATTGTACAGTCTCTCAAACATAATATCCCAGTTGCAGCTGTCAAACGCTTTTTTAGCATCTAGGGAAGAGAGATAGACAGGTGAGTTGTTGTTGTTGTAGTGTTTAATTGTTTCACTAATAACAAATTCAGCGTGTATTGTTGAGCTATTTTTAGTGAAACCGAATTGAAGAGGATGAGTTTCTTTTATTTCTGGACAGATTAGTAGGATAAGATATTCTATTAGTTTCGTAAAGATTGGAATGATGCTAATGCCGCGGTAAAAAATTTTCTGAGCCATTCTGTTAGTGCTTCACAGCTCGCATTCTTTAAATGTTCAGCTGATATTCCGAAGGCGTCCTTGGATTTGTTTAATTTAAGGCGAGAAATAACCGTTTTTATATTTTCACCCGATATTATTACCTCGTCGAATTTTGTGCAAGGTGGAATTTTTAAATTTGTAGAGGTATATGTGATTGCTTTAGAGTTTAATCGATTTTCAAAACTGTAGGCAAATTCTTTCGTGATCGAGTCTTTATCTTTTTTATTATTTATGATATACAGTTTCGAATTTACATCTTTTTTTATATCTCTGAAAGTTTTCCAAAATTATTTTGGATTTGTATTTTTTAACGTTTCAATTTTTATGTATTCTTTGTACAGGTTTTTCTTTTGAGCATTTTTTACTGCATTCAAAACCCTGCAATGACTGTGTTTTCATGGATAAATATTGACTAAGTGCCTCAGATGCCGATTTTGTAATAACAGTATATACTTTGATAAATTTCTCATTGTAATTATCATTCGTAAAATTGTGAAAATTAAAATTAGTATTTAAGCGATTGTTATATAATTGTAAAAAATCATTGTTATTCCAAGCATAATTTGGAATGCTGTACTTGTCTGAGTTTTTATGATTGTTTTCTTGAGAAGATTGTCCAATAATTCCAACTTTAATCGATACTGGTAAATGATCATTCATGTTTTGAGATAAAAAAGGAATTACGAAACAATTGGAATAAAGAAGAGAAGTATACTTTGAGAAAGCTATGTGATCTATGTAAGATGCGTTTGGTAATGTTGTTATGGTGATACGTTATGTTAGGTCCAGAGCCTTTTGTTACGTCCACTAATTCAAGTTTATTCGACTTAATAAAATTTGATAAAACTACGGAGTAGTTATTTTTCGTAGAGCTAGCTCTCTTTAATGAATCATATATTCCGTGAGGAAAAGATTGAAAGTCGCCAAGGACAATAAATTCAGCAACGCCCTCGTATTTATTAATAACAGCTGAAATTATATCCAACTGACTCTTGTAATCCTCCAGTGATAATTGATTATTGCGCAACGATGAAAGATAAATGCCAATAATAATAATAATAATATTAGCCTGATTTTTTTTAAGATTTATTACGAAGATATGATCATCTTCATATAGAATGATAATGCTTTGAAACAAATGTTTCCGAATAAAAAAAGCGTTTCTGCCAAACGGTCGACCCTGCTCATGTTTGTTAGCCTGGTGGAAGAATGAAGAGTGGGTATTTTTATAGATATTTTTTATTATGAAATGTTCTAAATTCGATAACCAGTGTTCACATATAAAAGATATGTCATGAGAGAGAACCAACGATTTGGTATACACAAAATTAGACTTTAGACCGTGGCAGTTGAAAGTTTATACATTAAATGTTATGCTAGTTCATACTTATGAAGTTCGTGTTTCTTCAGCCTGTAGCGTTATGTCCTAATGAAAAGTAACCGCGGGACAGAGGTTACAGCGCTTGTTTCAAAATCAAGTTTCAATTTTAACCTAAATTTAATATTAAAATAATCTTTATTTTGTAAAAGTTAGTTTTAAAGTTAGGAAGCGTCACTCATAGTAAAGCACTTAAAGGTTTTTCTGGTCACCAGTAACAAAAATTTTTAAAACGTCAACTTTTCGAGGATATGCAATTGAATTTTCCATTTTAAACTATAACTTTTATTTCAAAACTATAACTTTTAACTAAAAACAAAATAAAAAATTGATCAATAAAATTTTATTTCATCTAAAATTCTTCTACAATTTGTTTCATCATCTGTAGGTTCATGAGGAAGCTTCCTGATAAACCTACAGAAGACAAAATAGGCTGAAGAAGAAATTTAGATAAGTGTTTTTACATATATATATATATATATATATATATATATATATATATATATATATATATATATATATATATATATATATATATATATATATATATATATATATATATATATATATATATACATATATATATATATATATATATATATATATATATATATATATATATATATATATGTATATATATATATATATATATATATATATATATATATATATATATATATATATATATATTTTTACCAAAAGTTTTTTGCAATTACAACCTTTTTACTCTGAGTCCATATTATATCTATAATTGATTAAACTTTTCTTAAACTAAAATCGATACAGAGAAAACAAAATCTAATGTAGTATTTAACTTTTGTTTATAAATGTTGTTTATAAATGATTTTGTTTATAAATGAATCGCTAACTTGAAAAACGAGACATGTTATGTGAATTTTTGCAGGATGTGTCCCCTTTATTAAGTTAGCGATTCAAATGTTTATAAAACAAAATCAGGAATCAAACACGCTATAATCATAGCCATAAAGTTATCTGGTCAGTTTAAGAGCGCTATTATTTATCTTATTGTTAACATTTTTTAGAACTCAGCCTGACAATTAGTGCAGACTTTTTGTAAACAAAGACGCATTTAGATGAGTATTTACAAGAAGATTGTTGATTTATTCTTGTTTTTTGCAAATGCCTTGTCTTTATTATTACATATTTGGAACTTTTCAGAGTATAAAGTTCCGGAGTATCCGGAACTTTTCAAAGAAAAGCCGTATATATATATATATAACGTATATATTATAACAGCCGTGGAGCAGTGGTAGCGCACTTGCCTCGGAAACGTAAGATCCGTGGTTCAAAGCCCACCTCTGGGCAAGTTTTGCGACATCGGTTGGGAAGGAGGCGTGAACTTCCTATTAAAAGCTCTTCCGCGGTGCTCTGTGATTAGACCATAAGGACTTCTTGGGGAACCTTAATCAACAATCAAAAAAAAAAAAAAAAAAAAAAAAAGGATAAATACTTTTCTATTTGAGATATCCGATGGTGTCTTTAACAAATAATCGAGAAAAAAAGTTTTATAAATTATAACTAAAGAAATATCTTTAGTTATATTTTATTATTTAGTTATGATATA